CTTTGAGATAATGTACCTATAAGATAATTTATGTTGGAATCGCTGTTCTAACGTAATCTAATATTCTGGTAGCGGCTAATTAAGTAATGTGAAGAAAAGTTCGCCTCATAATATAACAGTAAGACACTGCTGTAGGAATGGTTTAATTACGGAGTGGTGGCCGATAACCGACGGACAACTGATAATGTTCTCTTAACTTAATGTACTACAATGAAACGTGTTATAGTGAGACATTTCGAAACTAATGGTTTCATTGGTTGTCTCACACTTAAGCTCGGGGTGTATTCTGGATATATTTTGTATCCTTCTTCCATTTGAATATATACACATACCTTTTACACCATCTTCCATTTACTTATGTTAAAATGCATTAAGTATTGAAGTTCATTAATGTCTTACATATAACCATGAAACTTTCAATTAAGAGACTTGATATTTTACATCGTTTTTTACCTCAAAGAAGATCTCGCAGGCAGAAGGGATCCATTTATAAAAAAAAAAATATCTACCTTATTTAGTTTCCAATTTGTTGATGTTTATGTTGCTTACTTTCAATAATGTTTATTATTTTCTCATTTTCCTCAAGTCCTTACTAAATTGAATGTGGACTGACCGACAAAACAACCTTTTAAGTATCTATTTTCCATTTCGGGCAAGGAAATTGATATTCATTTTATACTGATATAAAAAATAAATATAAAGGATATTCGTTCGTCTGCTTCGAGTAAATCGCACGCGACCCGTGTAAAAAGTTAAATGGATTTTTAAAACATATCTTACATTATGGTCATTGTGCTGCCAGAGACATAAAACATGGCCACGTGTGCTTCTATTAAGGCGTGGTTAGGCATAAAAATTTTTATGTAAACACTAATTTATTTACCGAGTGAAACGGTTTTTAAAAACTACATAGTCTGAGATCCAGTAATACCTACTAACACATAGTATAAAATAAACTCGCTTCCCGCTGTTTTTACGCTGAAATCTTTTGAACTACTTTTGTTATTCATCAATATACAGAGCGATTTAAAACGAAGATTTTTATGTATGTAACAGGCGGGAAGCTAGTAGTACATAATCGCTAATACAATATAGGTGCAACATATTATTATTAGTAACTTGCTATTTTTCCGCTCCTGTAAATAATAGTTTATGTCAGCCGCGTAAGTAGATTCCAGTAGGTGAAAGGTATTCTCAAATCGATCCAGTACTTTTGAAGCCTATACAATGCAAATAAATAATCTAATATTTCCTGTTTCCAATATTACTACATATGAATGTATTTTACAATATACGCTGACGTTTCTCATTTTTTGATAAATTATAAAATAATTTTAACGATGTTTACAATTCTTAAAAAAAACAAAGAATAATTTAATTTGATAAAAAATATGTATAAATAAAATTATTATAAATGCAGAATTATTTTATGTTTTGTTATTATGTTTTTGTAATGTTTTAAATAGACTCTATTTAGTTCCATGTTTATCAATGTCAATAAATACATGGAGTTTAACTATTATTATTTTTTGTTTATTTTTAATTGGCATTATAATAATAAATGACATAGATTTGTGAAAGTGTCATTTTAACTTTTTATTAGTCCAAAAGTTAGCTGCATCATTTTGATTGGTAGTTCTGTATTATCGTTTTTATTATTATTTTAACGGTTTCATAAAAACAATTTATATTTATATGTAATCAGTCTGATGTTTATTTCAAATATTTCAAAATATATGTAGTATTCACAGATAATAAATATGAAGATTCGCTTTAGTAACAATATTTCTTTCTCAAAAATATTTCAACAGTACTTTATTATAAAGCATATAATTTACGCGATGGAATAATTTTCTTAATAAGAATGCAATACGAGCACTCTTGCCCTCGTAAATATTTTATAGAGCAACACTATGTAACTTTATTAATTTTATGCGTACAGCATTTGATAGCCTCGGATTTAGAAACAGAAAAGGAGAGTGACTCAGCGCACTAAGTACTCAACTGTGTACAAATAAAAACTTTATTATAAACGCAATAGGAGTGGTATCATTTTCATTACTGTCAGAACTTGGGAATGACGACTTACTGCTAATCAGCCTATTACTGTACCTACTACTAAGACACAGGCCTTCCCCATGGCCACCACACGGGTATGACAAACAATACGTGCCTTCCGAAGGACGGAGGAGCATGAAATATTTTTAGTCATCCATCCTTTTTTTAACCCAGTTGAAATGCGTTACGCACTATTCCTACCGCCTGACGAATCAATAGGGAATTCTTCACCACTGAGGGCCCCCGCCTTAAGTGGTGGAGAGTTCCCTATATCCTATTTTAGTGGGTAAGTCCCCACCTGCCCACTAAAAACCCTGGGCATACCCTCATTCAGAGGTGGCACCCAGGAACCCGGGCATATTCGCTGGAACAGCCACCTCCTTGAGTCACCCGTCCTATTATCGAAAGTTGCTTTTGTTCCGAATAACTAAAGATAGAAAAATATGCAGAGTAAACTTTATAATTTATCTTGCTTGATGACAAGAAATCTGCAGCTGGGACTGATGAATTAAATCATCTTCTTAAGTATGGAGAAGCTCGTACACATATGATGTCCGCTAAACTGCTAACCACTACATCCATCAAATAACCAGGACTTGTACAATCGGTACATGAATTTCTATTCTGTACTGCCGTAGTGCGCTTGCTTCGCTTGCTCAGCTCGCGCTCTTAATAATAGTCTTTTTTGAAGATGGGAAATGCATTGTAAATATTTAAAGCTGAGCCGAGCGGGAACGTTGTGTACTGTTGCGATGCACACATTCATTTTTCTACTCAGCACATTTTTCATCTCTTTCATCATTTATTTGTTAAACTTCAGTTGTGCGTTTGACACTGTAAATTTTGACATCGTACTCTCCCTTCTGCGCTCTATTAACATGTCTCCATCCGCAACTGAGTGGTTTCACAGTTATCTGTATGGACGCCGGCAACGAGTACGTATTGACGAGAAGTTTTCCTCTTGGTGCGACACGACTGCCGGAGTCCCACAAGGTGGCGTTCTATCTCCTCTTCTTTTCGCAATTTTCATTAACAACATTTCTAAGAACCTTTCTTCTTCCTACCACCTTTATGCAGACAACTTACTAATCTACAGTCAAGCCCCTCCTTCACGGGTAAATGAGGCAGTGCATACCACTAATATTGATTTAGACCGTATAGTAGCATGGAGTAAGTCTTTTGGACTTAAAGTAAATCCAACAAAGACTAACACGATCATAGTGGGTAGTTCTAGGCTGATCGCTAAACTTGACTGGCACCTCCTACCAAAAATTAATTTCGATGGTACTGACATACCTTTTAGTGATATTGTTAAAAACTTGGGTATAATCATAGATCGGACTGGGGTCTGACTGGGGTCTGTTAGTCGGAAGCTGTATGCTTCTGCTGCATCATTAAGGAGGCTACGTAATTTTTTGCCGACTACCAATAAAATTGCTCTAGCTCAATCTCTGTTGCTTCCCTTACTTGACAACGCTGATACCTGTTATCTTGATCTTACGGAAGACCAACTAAATAAACTTGAGCGACTTTAAAACTTCTGTATTAGATTTATATTTGGATTACGTAAATATGGTCATATATCTCAATTTCGTACTCAGCTCAAGTGGCTTCCTATTCGACTTCGCCGGAATGCTCACATGTTATCTCTTCTGTATAATATTCTGTTTAATCCCGGTTTCCCGTGCTACTTGAAAGAACGATTTAATCCTCTATACTATTCCACTACACATTCTTTGAGATCATCGAAAAACCTGAAACTTGAAACTCCTCTCCATAACACTACCTTTTATGATGGCTCATTTGCCGTCCAAGCTGTTCGCCTTTGGAATGCTCTTTCGGCTTCCATAAGACAAGCACAATCAATCACTATCTTCAAAGAACTGGTAAAAAAACATTATTTCTCTTTGTTGCTAAAACCCTTCCTCGTTTCACTAAAGTATATTATTAGTATATATCTTATGTATGTATATATTATTTGTATTTATGTATATATTTTCAAAATTTATGTATCTTATAAGTATTAATGCATCTTTACTAAATGTTACTTATTTTCTTGAATGTACGTACTTTTACTCTACACCTCCGTTTTTCATAACTGCTATTCATTCTTCTCCATCCAAAGGTTGTCTGGTAGAAATCGCTGTTAGCGATAAGACCGCCAATTGCTACATCATCGTGTTATATTTTATTTGTAAATTTTATATTAAAAATTGTAACTGTAAAATGGTGTGACAATAAAGTATTATTATTATTATTATTATTTTTCTTTTAAATAGAACGTAATATGTGGCAAATAATTAATCATGAATCTATCTATCATTATTGTATACGTTCCTTTTTTATATTCCAGAGAGAAGATCTGTCTTAATTGTTCTATTACATACTGAACATTTTCTTAGATTTTAGGGCTTATACCACGTAAACCCTAACATTATTCTATTTATACTTGGGTTGATGGTAATATACTGTTTGCAAGAAAAGCATTTTTAACAATTTCAACATCCAGCCGTATTTGGTTTACATACTAAACATAAATTGTATGCATAGCAGAGACAATAACCACTATTCAAAAAACTGATGTTCTAATCGAAAAAATTTGACGTGGTGATCTCGAAAGTTTGTTTTGTTTATTGGAAATATCAAAACAAAAAAAATATATATAAATGATGGGTATCGTCAGCTTATCTTTTGTGGTTTAGGGCTAATTTAAACAAAAAATGTACCCATCTATGGTTTTCGAGAAAGCTCCCTTTGAGCATATAATTTTATTATACTTTAATGCATTTAACACAAACAGTTTTTTTTTTGTCTTGCTGTAAACAACGCATGTCACCGCAAGACGACGGCGCTTAGGTTAAACCGTCTCGATTGTGGAAAACTCGTCCTAAATTTAGGTCGGGATTATTTCTGACGACGTCGCCGCTCGCGCCGTGTCGCGTCACACACATTACCACCGATCGCTAGACCGGTCATTCTTGCGTTCTAAACATTGATTAACTCTAAACTCTGCCGAAGCTAATTACAATGATGGCTACGTAACATAAACTCGTTACCATTTATTACCGATAAATTAGAGTTTGTGGAATCAGGCCCTGGAATAAACAGTGTACGGTTAATAAAAATGTGCTTTAATGTATATACTATTGTGAATAGTTATGGCTGTGAATATTCTGTTTGTGTTTGCGTTATTAGTGTCATGTGGATTTGCAGAAGAATTTAAAATAGGTCAGTAGATTCGTGAGTTATCATTGATACATAGATCTTACTATAAAATTTTAATGCAAGCGTTTTGCTCATAAATGTACAAAGTAATTATTTCTACGTTTTAAATTCTGAAACCTTTTCTAATATTCAAAAGTTTTTAATTTCAGGAGGTATATTCTACCAAAATGCAGAAGACGCCAAAGTAGCGTTCAGCATGAGCGCTAAGATGTATAACTTCACCCCTATTATAAGGGAGGTATCAAAAAAAGGGGAGTTCCTCGAACTGAGCCAACACGTATGTTCACTTGCGGAGGTCAGTTTATATTCAAGAATATTCCCTTTGTTCTCTGATCGCTTTAGCAAATTCGATTTCTAACGTTTTACGTGTGTTTAGTGAAATAACAAGACCGTGTTGTTTCTGTCAATAATGTATTTTGACGAAGCGCGCCGTAGATTGTTTGGGGAAAAGAAACTCTTTTTATACTTTAATAGCTGGATTTTCTGAGCAATATCTGCTATGATTACCATTTTCGAATTTAGATAGAAATAGGAAGAAGTATGGAAACTTAGGGCTTAAATTAGCAGTCAAAACCTAATTTGTTCGATATACTTTTCGACTAAAATATTATTTAAAAAACTTCGCAATAGTAAAGAAAAAGTGGTTGGCGCGCTCTTTTGTTAAGCAACTTTGGCAACGGCTATTCATAGGATGGGTGACCGAAAATATTATTATATTGAACTCCTACGTGCTTCAAAAGACACGTTAAGCCGTTAGTCCCGGCTGTATCTGCAGTCGTTAACACCCACCGATCCGCACTAGGTTCGCTTGGTGAATTATAGCCCATTCTCATTATTCGGTTTGATTCGATTCCTCATGTACAGGTAAGGCTTGAGCACCAGCAGTAGGACACTAATAAACTGATGATGCTGATATAAATATTAACTGATTTCAGGAAAGCGTCATCGGTATAATAGATGGGATCGGTGGACGCTCCAGTAAGATTATCCAAGCACTGTGCGACACCATGGAATTACCTCACGTCGTCATAAAACATGACGTCATCTATACAAAGAACTGGTCGCTTCTGAATCTGTATCCCAGTCCGGTGGCGTACAATATGGTGAGATATCATTTACTAAGATAAGAAATAATGTTGTTGAATAGCTCGATGGCGCAATGGTGAGCTCGTTCGCTCGTTAGGCCGAGCACAGGATGAATGACAAAAAATGTTTGGCCTCTACGATTAGAAAGGCACATTAAGCCGGTGCCCGTGACATCTGAGTCGCTAATACCCACAAATTCGCACTGGGCCAGTGTGAGTCAAGATCTATTCTCCCTATTTGATTCCATCCATAGGGAAGAAACATTAATAGGCTGACCGTGATGAGAAATAATGTTACTAGTGCTACACATTTTGTGACATTATCCTGGAGTCCTGGCATAGATATAATAGATGTACCTGCAATAAGGGAACTGAGCCAACGTAGACTGATGCAAAATAAAATATGTGACATTAGTTTTGCTTTTTTCGCTAATAGAATATAGACTATAGTGTGTAAATACTTTGACGTACATAAGATAAAGAAAACATAATATCCCTGCAAAGGTAATACCTATAAACTCAAGTTGCTCTCCGCCTGTCATTGGTTATGTTTGTAGAGCTTTTAAAGGTAGGTTGGATAAAACATACTTGCTTCCCGTTATGTGTAAATTGAGATCTTTTAAGCTACACAACGGTTTTTGATGCGGCTTTCATCAATTTACAGAGTGGATCAAGGAAGGTTTATATGTATAATACAGGAAGCCGCTGGCGGAAAGCTAGTGGGCTATAATGAAAAATGATATAGTGATAATTGAATATTAATTATATAATTTATAATAATTTAATATAATATATAGTAAAAACTTTTAGTGGAAACTTGATGTGTTATTTTAAAATGCTTTATTTGTATTTATTATTAATATTGTTAGTTTCCTAAATATAATGAAAAAATAAATAAAAATAATAAAATTGAAATATTTCGGTGGCGTAGATTTTTTTTATCTCGAGCTATTCCGTGCTTCGGAAACCGTTAGTCCCGGCTACATTTGCAATGGTTGATACCCTCTAATCCGCATTGGGCAAGCGTGGAGCTTGGCCCATCCTTCTTAACCATCTATTAGTAAGGCCAGGGGGCCAATTCTACTAAATAAATTTTGTTTAAATCGAATCGAAAACAGATCGAACGATTCTATTCTACAAAGTAACATACGATACAATTCCAGTTCTATTTTAGCTGGAATTGTATCGTATGTCACTTAGTAGAATAGAAAAACCATTAAAAAATGTAGTTTTTTTCGGTTTCGATCTGTTTTCGATTCGATTAAAACAAAATTTATTTAGTAGAATTGGCCCCCTGAGCCCCGAGTGGGGTAGTAAAAGAGCTGATGAGAACCAGGGTAAAACTTTTAATACACATGAGATGTTTTCAGGTATTAGAGAAATTGATATTGCAAAAAGAATGGAGAAACTTCACATTGGTTTATGTCAGAGGTAACAGTTTGTTGCGTTTACACAATTTGCTGATGATCGGAAACGATACGAACAAATATGCTGTTTCGGTAAGAGAATTGGATGGTTCAGATTACAGGTTAGTATAGCACGAGTCTAATTATAAATAACGAATTGCTTAATAAAACTCAAATACAATTAAAATAACTAAACTGTAATCTTCGGTAAACAATTCACACAAGCATGTAAAATATTATTTATGTTATTTTAATGGTGGCTCAAAAAACAGAACCTATAAGCAATAGACTACATAAAAAATAGATTAAAAGAAAGGTCAACTGAAATGCGCACTTATACATATATTATATACTAAACATAACGAGACGGTACACGGACTGGTCGCCCAGATCTAGTTAAACACAGACGTAGTACTTTATTAGTTATTATTGTCTTTTTAATTCCTGTATACAAATATAATAGTTAATGGTTGTTGCGAAGTTTGTTGCTTATGTCTCATGTTGTAAGCCATCTAGTATATCATGTTGTAAGGGCTTACGATAAGCTCAGAATGATTTTATATAGATTATGGATTTCCATACGTCAGCGCCCAAGTTTACGCTTGACAATATCTACCACTATTTCTTCAAATACTTATTATTAAAATAATAATTTCTTTATTTTTTCTCATGATAAGATTTTATTTCCATTAGCTTCCTATTTGGAATAGGAAGGTCTATGCGCCATTCAAGAAATATAAGCTTTATCCTTATAGAGCGACTATGTTTTTATATCGTATACATTTGTATAAGACTAATATTAATCAGATCCCTAAATTATTGCTTAAAATTAGGTGATTTCATATAATAAAACAATTATTTGTTTCGTATTACGAAAAACTACATTTTATATCCTACCTCAAAATCAATTGTTTTCTGTGGTTCTTATTGAAGCAGATTTAATGAAACTCTAAAGTCTTATATGTCAGTTACACTTTCTTCAAAATAAGCTTGTGACTTATAATGATCTTTTGTTGTTCACGTATAAGCGGCTTGAAGAAAACGAGGTCGATGGTTGCTAACAAAGGGAAAGGACACTTTAGAACTCTTTACATACACTGACTTGCATCTTTTTTAGAGCTCTTCCTATAATATATAAATACTGCCTTCAATAATTAGATGTCTGAAGTGTGAAACTATTTATCACCAACAGTTTTTTTATGCGATAGTTCACCATTATCGATTTAACTATTTGCGCTTGTGGAACTCATTGCCAGAAGCAATAAATTAAGCTCCTACTTTGGATTGTTTTGTTGCTCAAGTAAAGAGTCACTTCCTATTACTATCTTGACATTCTTAATTCTTTAATATTCAGTGATTTTAATTATTTTATTTTCTTTATTGATTGTGTACCTAATTGCCTATCCAGTTATATCTCATCCATTCCCCGGTTTTCTTTGTTTATTTATTTTTCAACATGCTTAGCAATAAGCCCGCCATTTGTATACATCTTTCTTACTTTGCTTCTTTATATTGAGTATTTTGTAGTGTGCAATCAAGACTATAATATTAACCCCTGCTTAAATAGTTTTGTTGAGCTTTTATATCTTTTACCTAAGTACTTACGAACATTGTGACGAAGCAGATTATTGAATACATGCATAATTAATAATGCCGTTATACAATAGTTTGGATAGAACTTTAGGCAACGCAAGGTGACACATCAAATCGTTTGCCAAGTGGATAAAATTTCAATATTTATGACAAATAAAACGATTTTCATTTGCTACGTCAGAATAATTATATAATATGTTAAGAATATTTCAGAGATGTACTTATAAACGCCAAGGAAAACGGTTATACTAATTTTGTAATGGATTGCCCCTCACGGTATTTGGAGCAGTTGTTGCGACATGCCCAACAAGTGGGCTTGATGGCTGAAGAACATTCTTATATCATCATATCGCCTGATTTGTTCACGTTAGATCTGGAGAGGTACAGATATTCGGGTGTCAATATGACAGGTCAGTGATATTATATTTGTTTACTAGTACTGTCCCGACAAATTGATTTATCAGACATTTTCGACTTAGTGAAGCGTTCTCGTGAGTACTTGAATTCCTTCTATTGTACCTTTACTCAACATTGACATGTCCGACCTACTATAAAAAGCGAAGTAAATTAATAGTATTAACTAGAGTATAGAGCTATTTGTACAAATACTATGAAATTAATGAATATCTTGTCACTTTTAAGAACGAGCAGCGAATCCAACATATCTAAGATGTATATCATGTAGACTAAGACTTAGTGCATATCAAAGTAGATACATTCCTGAGCATTTAGATCAGTCATGTGAAGGAAACATTATATTGTATGGGATTCAATAAATGCTTACATAAATTCGTCCCAAAAAAACACCACTAGTTTGTGCAATAGTTAAAATATATATTTTTTTCAAAATTTCCAAATTAGTCTATTGGAAAAAACTGTGTATTTTTATTGATGGGTCTATTGTGTAAGCTTTAGTAACTATTTCTGTACTAGTTTTACTAGCTGATTTCCTTCGTAAAATTTAGCCTTTGTCAACCGTGTACGATTTACGAGTATATTCCCGTAGTTTCGAAGCTTATTCGATACAAGAAACAAATAAATAAACAATTAAATATTTCCTCCTTAGTACAGATAAACAAATACAGTCAAAAATGTTGTCAACAGGCTTCCGTTTAATGAATCTGCAGTCAAATGATCGACTTTGGAACTTCACATACCAATTCAACGTGGAGACTGGCAAATCTTTACAACCTGAAGAGATCAAAACTGAGCTTGTGTTGATTCATGATGCAATGCAAGTGTTCTCTGCAGCCTTAGAGAAGTTGATAAACGTTCAAACTCAGTCGTTGAGCTGTGAGAACTACGATGCTTGGATGTATGGTTCATCACTGCTAAATTTTATGAGAACGGTATTATAGACTATTATCAATTAAAGATGCACGAGTATAATTATATTTCTGAGTGACAATCTCTGTCTGTAGTCTGTGTCTCTTGATTGAAAATGGTGGTGATCGTAGGGTAATACGAATTCGGAGTGGATTATTTATCACCGTCGGCTCCAAATTACATCTCTAACATTGTTGTGGATCTTGGTTGGTAGATGAGTCGTCTATTTGATTATATTTAGTCTTTTCATCGGCTTTTCAACCGTTTGTCAATATGACAATAGAAAAACGCGAATCCAAATTAAAATTATTATTATTACACCACTGTTATGCTAGGTGAGCCTTAGATAAGCTAGAAAGAAGATAAGTCCTTCGATAAAATTTGGAGGGTACGCTTAATCCATTATTCAATATGTATATATTCTATAGTTAATAGTTTTTTTTTTTTGATATAATACTAAAAGTAATGTTATGTTATATATTCACATAATGATATATGTATTAAATTTATAAACTCACTTAATCAATATCCTTATTTAAATTTAATTATTTTCAGAATAAAGTTGAAGGCCTAACAAGAGCGTTACTTTTCAACGGTGAAGGCCTGCGCTCTGAAGTTACATTTGATGTATTAGAATTAACCTCATCGGGAAACCAGACAGTAGGAAGTATTTCATTATATAAAACATTATTTTATATGTGAGCCATTTTAGAATATGAGCCATATATTTCTTCGCAGTAAAATAGTCAATAAAACAGATTGGGAGATAATGACAGATGTCGTATTTATGCGTACTTAATCGATTTATCGCAGTTTCTTCTAAGTAAAACATTAACAGGCTGAATGTATAAGCCTTTGAAATTTTGTTTCTTTTCTTATGATTACAAAATAACAAAACTGATCTGACAAAAAATAATATTATAATAATTTAATTGATTTAAGATTTGTACTTGTTATTTAGATTAAGATTTTGAGATGTTTCAATATCGTCTTGATATATAAAACATCTTTTTTAGACTTTACTTTGTGTTATTTTGAGTTTATTTTTTATTATTATTTTTACATTACTGTCCATGGATATTATAGTTGTGTCCATTGATAATAATTAAATATAAAAGCAATGGATTTGAACCATTATTTGCTTTACATGTCAATTTTCGTATAATCTCTATCGTTAGCCCTAATAAATGAATAATAATAAATATAAGTAAATATATAAATAATAATTTTAAAGTTTATGTATCAAAGGTTTACGGTATATTCATTGCAGATTGGATACTGGAAATCTAACGAGTTAACTATAGAAAGGCCATTTATTCCGGATACAGAAATAATTGAAGAATCAGTATTGAGGAATAAGTCCCTGAAAGTTCTCATCGCTCTGGTAAGAATTGATAGATTCTTAAACTTATCAATAAATCATCTCCAAAACCGAACAGAGCTTAAGCTGTAATTTTTGTATAATGTTCACAGACATGAATATTAAAAGTTAAAAATTGATAAATAATGACTTAATTCTAATTGTTGGTTATAACTTATAAGGTTAGATTTATTGAGTACTATATTGTTTTTTTTTTTTTTTCAATTAATCCTTTATTTTTTTTTATAAATGTATGCCAAATTTTGTAATACACATAATGCACTGAAAAATATAGGTTATGAATCGTAGTTAATCGTCAGTGATTCGTGTTATTTAAATCAGAAATATCGATAGTTACTTAAAATTTCTATTATATCGCTAAATTGATCACTAATCAGCCTGGAAATCGTATACAAAGCCATCAATATAAAATATTTTATTAAAGTGGAATATTTGTAAAGAGACCAAACAAGCTTAGGGTTAAATATGGGTTAAAGAGGTTCACACATTAATAATAAAATCTTTACACGAGCTTTTAGTCCCAAGTTTTCTTGAGAAACCAATGTAATGAATATCGTATATAATTAAAAGAATCCTTTAAATAAAGAAATCGACTAACTCACCCACATGTAATGGAACAAAAATATCCAAAACAAAAATTTGTTTGACATTTGTGCTTGATTTTCACTCTTTATCTCACCCCAATATTTTGTTATTCAGACGCCTCCATATGCCTACAGAAAAGAATCCGACGTAAAATTAGAAGGCAATGACCGCTACGAAGGATTTACAATAGATCTAATAGATAAAATTGCGGATATCCTCGGATTCAGTTATGAATTCGAAATCGAGGGTGTTTACGGTAAACTAAACCCAGAAACTGGCAAGTACACTGGTATGGTCCTTCAACTAATGGAAGAGGTAAGTAATAAACAAAATAGAAATCCTACTGTGTTATTTTAGGAAAAAAAAGGTATTTTAAATTTCGATACGGCTTTACAATGCTGATAAGTATTCTTTTAGTATTTTTGCCACATTTGAACTCTAATTAATACTTGAAAGTTTGAAATCAATGATGTTGAAAACCTGTGCTGTATGCTGTGAGAAATTACTAAATCTTTTAAGGTCAGACTCTAGTGTCGCTATGATTATATTTTTATTCTGTATAATGTTCATTTAAAGTGTAAGCGCCGACACCTTCGATCGCTGATGTTAAGCAACTTTCGCAAAGGTCGGTCACAGAATGGATGTCCAAAAAATTATTATCGCAAGCTATTCCATGCTACGGAAGGCACGTTAATACTTTGGTACCGGTTGCATTTGCAGTCATCCATCCATTCATAAGGAAGGTCCGAGTCCGTGCAGTAGGGACGTAAAAAGGGCTGATGATGATGATAATAATGATGACAGTGGAATGGTACTAAGAAAGTAGTCTGGCCATCAGCTTTCATTCGTATTCAATCAGCTGATATCGCCTTACAAGTCGAATCCACTCCACTTATCATAGCCGAGAGTTGATGCCGGCACAAAATAACAGTTTTAATACAAAATACGACTACTTTTTAAATAATATCTTCAAATATGGTGTCAAAATAAATTAGCACTTGTTTGTTATTATCGTATAATAATTTACTATTTGACCTAATGTTAATATTTATCTGTAAATCTCCCTAAGAATGAGTAAAATGTCTAGTACCTACTGTATTGGTTATTTTCTTATCTTATTTCGGGTGTTGACCGCTCATGCTTTAGACATTTCAAACGTCTATTCTGTTTGTATCTCATATGGTATTTTTTCCTTACAGAGAGCAGACTTAGCGATTTGTGACTTCACAATGACAGTAGAACGACAAATGGCTATTGACTTTTCCACGCCGTTTATGACGACAGGTATCGCTATATTGTATAAACAACCAAGTAAACAGCCTCCCGCAATGTTCTCCTTTATGGAGGTTTTCTCCAAAGAGGTAATTTGTTTTGCAAATTATAGTAGTTTATTCTTTTAAAGGTACACAGCTGACACTATAACAATGATATAACTATTAATTTTGCGATAGATATAAACCTTTAAATAAAGTTCTCTCTTATCTATTTTAATACAGAAACATATTTAATTTGAATAGTCCGTTAATTTTATATTAATATTTGCCTTCACATTAATACTCGTAGTAAAATGTTCAACTTTTGAAAAGAATGAACTATATTTTAATGAAAAATGCTTAAAAATCCTTTTTGTCAATGGCACTCGAACCAACGACCTTTCGCATCACGAATGACTGCTCTAACCTCAGAGCTACCCAGGACCTAACAGGACTGTCGAATTGTTTAAGCACTTACTTTTTCGTTACTACAGAGCGCATTTTCATTAATATTAAGGCAATCCACCCAAACAGTAGAAACAAACATATATTTAAACTTTCGATAAAGATGAAAATTTGTTCTAATTATTATGTTTTATCAATATTTCATTCGCAATGCTATACGGAAGAATATTAAACAAACCATTTTGTCCCTGGCTTGAACTGTTTGACTGTATCAAAATTAGTTTCTTCAAAAAGAAAAAACTTGTAAATTTAAACTGAACTCTTTACAGATACTGTTTAAATGGTGATGTTATAGGTTTGGTATTACATGGTGCTGATACAGCTGGGTTTGGGTGTGATCATGATATTTGTGGGTCGCATCTCCAACAAGGAATGGCAGAACCCCGTGCCTTGCATCGAACAACCAGAAGAACTAAGCAATCAGTTCAGTTTCGCCAACTCCGTTTGGCTTATCATTGGTTCAGTGATGCAGCAAGGTTCAGAAATTGCACCTATGTAAGTTTAGTTGCATAATTTTCAACTTTTGATAAAGTTAGTATTGATAATTTAGCGATTACTAAGTATTGATCATAATTAAAAGATGTCTATTTATTGCATATATGGATATTTCAACGTTATATTACAAATTTAGAAGAATTAAATATATTATAAGCGTCGAATACAGCGCTGTCGCAGCAAAGGTGCTATACCTATAATATTATGCGTCGCGTCTTGTCAGACTGACGAATTTCGACCTTATACACTCGACGAAAACTCTTTCACGTACTAATTAATTCTAATTAAATCTTCCGTAAAACGATTGACAGATCTTCCATCATATTTGCAAGGATCTGCATCCTTAGAAGTTCAATCGAAGAAAACCAACTTCAAAAGTGATAAGGTTTTGTTCGATTGAAGTTCTAACAACACAACTGCTCATGATGACGATTGATCCCAATAAATGTTCCAGCACTAGTATGATTTTTTAAACTTTTACAATTAATTATTTTATGTTTTAGTGCATTAGCCCCGAGAATGATTACTAGCATATGGTGGTTCTTCACCATGGTAATGGTAGCGTCATATGTCGGCACATTGGTCGCGTTCCTTACAGTTGAAAAGAATGTGATGCCGTTCAAAACACCTGAAGACCTTTTTAAACAAAAATCAATTTCTTATGGTGCAAAGATAGGCGGGTCTACTATGGATTTTTTCAAGGTATTATTTTCTTTTATTTATAAATCATATTTTCAGAAGCTGAATTTATTTTCTATAGAATCGAAATAATTACTTAAATAATGTCGAAAAATATAATTTGAACGATCAAATGTAAATATATAATGCGCTATATTCATATCTATTTATAAGGATTAGGGTTACTTAAGACGTGTTACTTATGTACATACATTTAAGTAATCTTGCTCTCATCTCGAAGAGATTAGTAAAGTTAACGGAAACCATATCCCACAGAAAATGTGCGGTTTAATAATATTAATTATGACTATAATTCGCTGTACTTTACTTATTAAATGTTAAGTTGTCCTTTTCTTCAAATATTTCGAATTTTCATTTTTTTTAATATAATTAAAAATGTAATTGTCATTAAAAAAATAATATTCTGCAGGGGGCTTCAAATGAAATATACAAGAAAATGTATCAAAAAATGATGGCAAAAGGATGGGCGGTGAGCAGTAATGACGCAGGTGTCGAACTGTATGTATTTATTCTTTGAGGCAATTAAAAATGTAGCATTACGATTTGAGAAATGTTTTGTCTTCGCTCAAAAGTAACTTTTCTTGGTTACTCCCATACTGTGTTTCACACTCGAACCATTTTTTGATTCTCGAGTTGAGTTTACACGTGCAGATTTTACTAACAGGACAGAAGCTTATGCTTAGGGCATTTGAGATTCTGTGGCTCTTCATAATATTGTGATATAAAGTAATTACAGTGCGTCTTAACTACCAAAACGTCTAAGGTGATCAAAAAGATGTTAAGAACGCTACTTTTATCTAGAAGTCATCAGTTGTATATTGATTTACGCAAAGTATTAAAAATATCTTTTGATTGACTTCTTTGGAATAGATCTGAGTATTCGAGTCGAACAGTGGTGTATCGAATCAAACCGATTCAAATAGAGTTGTTTATTAGATAAAATTGAAGAAAAAGTGCCAAGATACTTTGATCATTTTGTGCTTCGATCAATTGCAACTTTGGTTCCCTATATATGTAAAATTAAACTTCTGTACTTCACATCTTTATGGTCACCCTAGACGCTTCGATGATTATGACGCTCACTGTACATACAAAAACAAAAAGTATATCATGTGCCGTGTGTAAAGCACTACTGTAATTATGCATTATGGCTACATCAGCTACGTCATATCCAAGTTTTCTGCAGTACCCAATTCATTTTGCAATGATATCAACTGAATATCCAAAACACGACATGTTTTGATAAGTATGCGAATATTCTACAGTGAGTTAGACAAATATTGTACCATGTTTATTTATGATACACAAAAGAGATAACAATTGACAATCAATTTACAATAACAATCAAATCAATATTATCATCTGAATTGAAATCTACGACACTGCATGCATTATGAATCAAAACTGAGTCTTCAGAAATTACTTTGGCTTTATTATTACTAAGTGGATTAGCATTATTATATTGCAACATTTGAGATTAGTGTAGTTTATTTTATTTATTATACTAACTATGAATAAATATTTATTTTTCTAGAGCAGAAAATTCAACTTATGCATTTTTGATGGAAGGAGCGTCCATAGAATATTATACAGAGAGACATTGTGATTTACTGCAAGTTGGCAACTTGCTTGACCAAAAGAGCTATGGCATTGGAATGAAAAAAAGTAATTTATCGTTCATTGTGACATTTACATGAAAGACATATAATTTTTCTTATGATTAACAGTATTTTATTTGAATATGTAAATTTTGCTATTCCAGATTCACCATATAAAGTTCACATTGATGATGCACTCCTCAAATTGAAAGAGAGAGGCGAATTGCAAAAGTTAAAAGATATTTGGTGGAAAGAAAAGCGTGGTGGAGGAAAATGTGAGGTAATAGAAAACAATATAAACAAGACATTTATGTCAGTTCTACACAAAATATAAAAGTAATTAAAATGTTAAATGACATGCGGAAGATTTTGGTAAATTTTAGACGGCCTTTTTAATAAAAATAAAGTATTCTTAATGAAAATTATTCCACTTTGTCCCCGGCACTCTGAGATGAGACTCAAACCCATGACCTTTCGCAATCCAGGTGACTGCTCTAAACACAGAGCTACCCAGGACCAAACAGGTCTGAAGAATTTTTAAAGCACATTTTCGCTACTCTCATCTCAGACTGCCAGAGGCAAAGTGGATTTTATAAGTATTTTTTTAAGAATAATTTTCAGTATACTCTTAGTAGCATTGTGAACGCAAGATTGATCAAATATAATAAAAAGAAGTTAAACTTTATCTTTTATTATTCGATATTTCTTTTAGGAAAAACACGAAGACACTGCGAAGCGATTGGAAATGAAAAATATGTCAGGTGCCTTTGTGGTACTAGGAGTGGGCTGTCTCATTGGCCTCGGTATTTCTACCCTCGATATGCTCTGGGGTGTCTTCAAACGTTCCGTCAAATATGGCGTAAGTGGATAAGGATGCTTTTTCGTCCATCTATTTTTATTATGCATCTGTTTACAGAAAACTGTAATCATAGAACTTTACAGTTTTGTCAGGAATAAAAAAGCTATGTTTTTGTTTAAATACTTTTAGTTTGTTATTCGTTCTTAATTTATACGGGAATATTTAGTTCATTCTTTATTTTATTGAATACTAACTTTTGCCCGTAACTTTGTCTGAGTGATATCTAGTAGTCTCTAGAAATAAAATAGAATCCACAGATTTTTTTGGTATGTACCAATGAAAAAAATTGGTCCACATATTTTTATGTCTGAAAGGGATACTTTATCTTAATTCGATTTGTATTTATATGAAAATAATAAGTGATATCTAAATTATTTTGACGATACCGATTTAGTCAAAAAAATAGAAATATAATACAAGTAAAAACTATATTCTATATATTACAGACCACTTTCAAATATGAATTGATCGAGGAACTTAAGTTCGCTCTTAAGTTCAGTGGTGACGTGAAACCAGTGAAGCGACCTCCAAAAACGGATGATGGAAGTGCTCAAGTATTAGCTGATCCAGAAGCGAAGGACGAGATCAAATCATTGAAATCACATTTCTCTGGAAGATCCACTTCAACACATAAGACACACCACTCTCATAGCTCTAAGCATTCTTCTAATGGTCTCAGTGTCGCATTTGCTAGGAGACGAGAGTATACGTAAAAGTTATAGCTATTTAAGACCAATTTATTCATAGAGATACACACACGAAATTCATTACCAAAGTAACAAGACAAAAGTATTAAGAAAGCAGGTCTTCAAGTAAATACTATGAACGGTACGTAACAGTATATTAGGTTATAACATAATATATTATCTACGATTAATTATAAGCTTAATGATATATTATTATTAACATTTTAAGGTTTGAAACTGATGACAGAATTCAGTCAATGTTGTACAACCTGCGGTGCTATTGTCTGTTCATACTGATCTGTTATCTATACTTATATTATAATAAAAAAAAAATATTTGATTGTGTAAATATTTGATTTGATGAGATCTCAAACTATAAATCATTTTACCTATGGGAATACGTATGGGAAGCTACATCAAAATCAGGTGATACAGGCTATAAGGGGTCATCCATAAATTACGTCACACTTTAGGAGGGGGAGGGGGGGGGGCGACGAACTGTGACATTAGAACAATACTTAGTGGAATATGTATAGATAAATAGGTGACAGGAGGGGAGGGGGGGGGGGAATTCTGAATTTTGTGTCACGTAATTTATGGACGGCCCCTAATTTACTTGGATGAAATCGTGCTCGTCTATAATATTCTAATATATTTAATGTCTTTGCATTTCGATAGTGAAGTCCAAGTTATATATGGAAACTAAGAAGCATTACCTATTGTCATTCTAGTAAAATGTGTAACTAGACTTCATCCCCTGATAATGAGATGTGCATACAAATCGAGTCGCAATCTACCTAAGGTTAATCAATATTTGCATTTAAGAAAGTATTAATAAATTATAATCTTCCTTCTAGTCATGAGATTTGCTCTATATATTTTTTAGAATGTTTTTTACTCTTTAATTGTTTTAAAATTAACATGTGAAACAACCGAATAGAGCAAACAAATAATCTATTATAATCATGGTAATTAAAGTATAAACAGTAATTCCAGAAACCAAATTTGGGTTAGGTTGATAATATTTTTACATATGGAGGTGTATTAATTATCGCTTTAAATGTTTCATTTTATTTTATTCAGGTATATTTTGGAATTGTGAAAATAAAGCTAATGTCCCTGAATGGGACCTTTTTGATACATTTTTGTTTATGGTTTATATTTAATTTTTATAATGTTTTTGTTCATTATCGATTCCTTTGGTTTTTGCAATATATGTCACAAGAAAAAGACGTATTTTTATTTGCTAAAAATTCTTTAAAAAATAACGGCTAAATAGTATTATCAGTCGTTAACAAGTGGTCCTTTCGCATTTATTATTCGAACCAGCATCAATCATAATGGTAAATACACGTTCACAAAGTAAACTGCAAGAAAATATGCCTGATGGCCAAGCATCAAATACTGAAGCAGCCGCAACACAGCCCGCGGAGGAACATCAGGTACCGTTTGACACCCGCTCACACACATCACAGTCGGTAGCAACCACACGCACAAGCCGCTCTTTCGCTACAGTTACCGCGAGAAAACTCGCAGCGGAGGCACAGCATAAACGTCATCTCGCTCAATTGGAGATGACCGCTATGCGCGCACAGATAGAAGCTGCTGAGGCCGAACATCAGGCTGAGCTAGCGGCAATCGAGGCAGAGTATAGTGATCGCGGATCACGTCGCAGTGAGCGGAGTCGTGCCGATATCGAGCAAATGGCTAGGCAGTATCGCTCCCTCTGTCACATCACATCGTGACGGAGAGCCATCCCTCGTCAAACATTTTTTAAAGTCCAACAATGATGGACGTCAGGTAGGGACCAATAATCATCTATTTTTGTGTTCTCAGGAGTTTCCACAAGGTGGTAATGTTATTTTTTCGCCCAATATTGCAGTACCGAGTCCTACACAGTTGCCTCAGCCCAATTCCTGCGGAGGTGACAGGGCCACTGCCATTAATATTCAGAGAGAGGATAACACCGTCGGAAAACTTATTGAAGCCCTGAAATCTTTTAGCAAAAATAGCGGTCCTATTAACAATAAATGTTCAATTAATCTGCCAATTTTCGATGGAAAATCTCCATTGGATTGGCTTTCCTTTAAACGTGCTTTTCAGGATTCTGCAGGATCATATTCGGAATTAGATAATCTCGCACGCCTGAATCAATCTCTAAGAGGCACAGCGCGCGATGCAGTAAGTATGTTATTGGTGATGGCTCACCGAGCCAACGACGTCATTGACGCTTTAGATCGCCGCTTCGGCAGGCCTGAGCAAATCGTGTTACAAGAGGTCAGCGCGGTGAGAGCCTTGCCCAAGGTTGGACCTGATGTTAAGGATTTAAATGTTTTCGCCACACGTGTACGAAATTGTGTAGAAGTTGCCAATTTATTAAAGCATAGCGATTATTTGCGTTCACCGGAGTTGTTTGGCGCATTGCTTAGTAAGTTATCTCCACTATTACGTACACGTTGGTTTGACTTTGCTGAAAAACATGAAATGACGGGGTGGGCTAGAGTTGAAATGCTTTCACATTTCCTTACTCGTGAGGTAGACTTGATGTTGAGATTTGGCACGATAACTGATTTTAGTGCAGGCCCTGCTCACAACCAGAGATTGCATGCGGTTTTGGAATCGAACTTAGGATCGAACCCAAAAATTCCCAAGCGTAAATCGTCAAATAATTCAGTTGACCAGAAAATTTGTTTACTTTGTAAAAACAAACATAATTTGTCAAATTGTCAAAATTTTTCATCTTTGACAATCGATGACAGGTGGCATTTTATCAAAGAAAATAAAATCTGTTATCGTTGTCTTCAAAAAGTTCCACATAGTTTTAAGTTTTGTAATAAAAATAAGGATGGTTGCACAATAGCGGAGTGTAATCGTAAGCATCATACACTTCTGCACAACTCAAATTTTGTTTTGGCGGCACACACAAACGAGTCTAATACACAATCTAATGATGTCTCTGTGCCTCCAACATCAAACAATACAGACCAGGTAAATATTAACACTACTTCAATCTTTGTTAATCCGTCACAGCGTCCTTTATTAAAAATAGTGGCAGTCACGGTGTCCGGCCCGGCTGGTAGCGTAGACACATTTGCTCTATTGGACGATGGTTCGACAGCGACTTTCATCGATTCTAGCATAGCCTCACAAATAGGAGCCGAAGGCCCCGAAGGACGTGTACATTTAGACTGCGTAGGTGGTTTATCGAGAGATAGTGCTGTACAATATATAGATTTTCAAATTAAGGGTCGTTTCACAACTCAAACTTTTGCTATACAGGGCGCACGCTCTATCTCTAACTTAGGGTTACTTAGTCAATCGGTTACTCGCGATACAGTATGTTCTTATTCTTACTTAGCGGATTTAGCTGATAAGCTATGCTACGACGAAGCTAAGCCAACACTCATCATTGGCATCGATAACTGGCACCTCATAACTGCGACCGATATTAGGAAGGGTACTAGATCGCAGCCAGTCGCCATACGTACTCCCCTTGGATGGGTGATGTTCGGATTTTCAAGTAGCAGAACTAGGGTTACAGACTTCACTTACACGGTGTCCGAGTGCCAAGGTGATGACCCGCGGCACGACTTAGAAGCCCTCATCAAACAACAATATAGATTGGATTCGATCGGTATTTCAAAACACGAGCCAAGGAGTGCTGATGATAAGCGCGCTCTTGAGATTCTTGATCAAACGGTTCGACGGCGGGCAGATGGGCGTTTCGAAGCCGGTCTGTTGTGGAAAATGGAGTACCCCGAGGTACCTGATAGCTATCCGTTGGCATTTTCTAGATTTAAAACTCTCGAAAAGAAGATGTCAAGGGATGCTGATTACGCGTTGCGGTACTGTCAAAATATTCAGGACATGATCAATAAAGGCTACGCCGAGGAATGCACTGGAGTTGCGCCGCAATCAGTTTGTTGGTATTTGCCTCATTTTGGTGTGGTAAATCCCAACAAGCCCGGCAAGCTCCGCGTTGTGCACGACGCCGCCGCGAAAATTCACGGCGTATCCTTGAATTCCATGCTTCTGACTGGACCGGACCTTTTACAGCCTCTGCTTGGTATCCTGATGCGTTTTAGGGAGGGGAAGATAGCCTTAACCGCGGATATTAAGGAGATGTTCCCGCAGGTGAAGATTCGTGAACAGGACAGGGACGCCCAGCGTTTTATTTGGCGCGAGAACCCTACAGGTCTGATTAAAGTTTACCGTATGTCTTCCATGATGTTTGGCGCCTGTTCCAGTCCTTCCACTGCTATTTACGTTTTAAATAGAAACGCATCAGAATTCCAAGCCGAATTTCCGGAGGCTGTACACGCGATCCGGACAAATACTTACATGGACGATTTTATAGAAAGTGTCTGTAATTCCGTAGATAATGCAGCTCGTTTGGCCGCTGATGTTTTTAAAATCCACAAGCACGGCGGTTTCGAGATGCGTGGATGGGTCTCTAATATGCCTGAAGCTTTAAGTCAGCTGCCAAAAGAGACATTATCTGACGTCTCAGTTCTAAATAATAGTGTAAATTTAGGTAGTTTTCAGTTGCCGACATTCATCCGTACACTAGGTCTTATTTGGCGACCTAGTTTAGACACATTAGGTTTCAACATAGAACTTAGAGATATGACATCAACTCAGCTAACTAAACGAGAAATTTTATCTCAAATCATGCGCATTTATGACCCGCTTGGTATTTTAGCTCCTATCGTAGTGAGAGGTCGTATTTTATTCCAAACTTTGTGGCGTAAAAATATTGAGTGGGACGAGCAGCTAACAGAGGCAGACCAACTCATTTGGCGTGAATGGTTTGAGAGTCTCCGTTCTATTGTCGACTTACAGGTACCACGTTGTTACTGTCTTAGCGACTACATTGTGGTGGAGTTACACGTGTTTTGTGACGCTAGTGAATTAGCTCACGCAGCCGTTGCATATTGGCGGTTTATTCTTCCTTCTGGAGAAGTTAGGGTTGTGCTTATAGCTAGCAAGGCACGTGTTTCGCCACTTAAGCCCGCTTCGATACCACGTCTAGAGCTACAAGGTGCGCTGATAGCCTCTCGTCTTGCCACCACAATTTGCGAGACTCACCGGTTCATTCCCAGTCGCCGCTTCTTCTGGTGCGACTCTATGACTGTGCTGGGGTGGTTAAGAAGCGATGCCAGAAATTACAAGCCATTTGTGGCGCATCGCATTGGCGAAATTATAGAAAATACCAACGTGAGCGAATGGCGTTGGCTACCTAGTGACATGAACATCGCAGACGACGCCACTAGGGGGAAGTGCGGCATTGAGTCACGCTGGTTGTTAGGCCCAAGTTTTC